GACAACCACTAGTCTTGTTTGAGAGATTAAATTCCAAGTTAAGTTATTTGCGAGAGTAATGTAGAACATTGGAATTAAAGTAGGTTCTCGAAGTTCTTAAAGATCGTCCTCGAATTCACTTAATGTCTGCATTCATCATTTTCGGTTGGATGTAAACCTGTGATCAGTAGGTGCAATTGCATCTTTCAGAACCAACTTAAATCCCATTTTTTCAGATATTGAAATGGCAAATTAGATCTTCCAATTGTGATTTTGGGGCAGTTTTCACATTGGAAAGGTGAAAACATTACCACTCTGACTACATACTTCAGACGGTGTCATAAATTAACACTGATTGAAGAGCCTGGTTACTTGGGTAACCATTTCGCTCCCGAATGCGAGGGTGTGTGCTGCATTCATGCTTTTTAGACTTTCCTTTGTCAGAGCAAACACTGGCTCTGGAACGATGCCAACTGGGCGAATAAAATCGTACTCTCACTTTTTTGAGGGTGACAGAAGGCAGTAGATTTAGAGCAACGCATCATTTCAAACACACCTAGGCACAAACACACATTCAGAGTATGCATAAACATGCAAACTAGCTGTAGGGTGTGCCATTAGTTCATGTTATGAAAACTCTTTTTTCTGTATTTCGTTCTTTTTTTTCACCTTCTCCACCTTCACGAAACTTCACCTGACAGGGGCAAGTACATCAGCACCAAACTGTTTGCATGCTTTTAGTGATGTGAGCTAGAATTTGCGGCATGCAGATTTAGGCTCTAAGGTCAGTAGAGTGATGAGTCAATTTAACCAAACGGAGACACCCCCATCAGATTGGTAGCCTAGTATTATAGCCCTGTTACTCCTTCGGTGATCTAGAAAGTTGGGTGACCCTCCTCAATGCTTCATTACATTTATCGTCACGTAGCCATCGCAACCGTTGTGTCACAAGTCAAATGTTCGGTTAATTCTGCGTTCAAGTTCTAAGCCACCAAGGTGCTCCTCAAGGTGAGCTGGCCTCCGGATCACGTCAGTGACCCCAAGCCCTTTTGTACATCAACAATGCATACACTGCCCTAGTATTATACCTTCTTTCATCTTCAGGGAAGTCTTGAGGTAATACATTTGTGGCAGTGGAAAGCAAACCCCGTCTTAAAGGATACCTATCCTGATTTATACTACCGGGTGATAAACATTAGCGTTACGGAGGAAGTGAATTGGCTGCAGATGGTGGAGTATGTGTCGACCTCTAACAGAAAGGCAAAATATGCCGTCCACCTTTGGCAACTGCCCTTGTCCAGTGATCTGCAAGGAAAATAGTAACCGCACACTATCAAGAGAATTTCGTTGCGGAGCTATCTACGGTACTTAAATAAAAATATTAATTAAGCGAGGACATGATACGTCCTCCACTTCTCTACTAGAAACCAATAAACTAGGTGGGAACAGCTGGAAAGCTCTGACCTGGGGACAAAGGGATAATGAAAAATAGACGAGAAACGCCCTTCCCAAGGAACTAGGTTAGATCCCGCCCTTTGCTATTTGGCTCTGCTTCTGGGCGAGTTGGCCTATGACTAGCCATGGATACACGTGATGACCAGCACCTTCCCCCGCCTCCCCAATGCAGGATCCACTTTAGATTTAAAGGAATCGTTAAGGGGGATCGGTAATGTAGCGGTTAAATATCTTATCATTTGCATGAGAATCTGATGACTGGCACAGTAGGATTGTGGATGTTTCCCTACGGCACCGACTACGTTGTGGTGTCTGAAGCGGGAGGTTTACCAAGGGGAATGGAAAAACTACGCTCAAATGTAGAGGGGTTATGCAACTCTTTGTTTGTTTGTTTGACTCCTAGTTTTAGCAAATGGACCACCTAGGGGTTCCGCCATTGTACCTTCTCCCGGCGGCCTAGCCTCCTAACCACGCCAGTAGTTCTCAGCCTCCTTACACGTCAAAAATGCACATTCTGCCCTCATATCGTATTTGTGCGTATTCAGGGCAGTCTTAATGCAGTGCCGATGATCTCTATCTTTTAACGATTAACCCGCAAGCTTGGGCCACCTTTTATAGGAGGGAACTTAACTAGTTTCTGGTACAAAAGGGGCAGACTGTAGTCCTTTCCCTAACTACAAAGTACACGCATTTTCCAAACAAAATGAAGCAAAGTGGTTTTAAAGGGAGCTGATTAACCTTAGCTTCCAGTCTCGCCTTAAGCCTTTCTTGATCCTAATGCTATGCTGATCCAACAAGAAGCATAACAAGCGACGTTGCTCTTTACTAAGTGACGATACCTCCATTTTGCATAAATCCCTATTTAAGGAAGGCCTCTCGTAAATGATGATGTACCAATTCCAAAACACCTTTAAAAATCTGCTCCGATTTTAAAATCTTACAATTTCAATTTGTTAGTCCTTAACAAAGTGAATTATGGCACATTTTGGTACCCTTGAAACCCATTCTGTACAAATCGGTGCTTTGATTTAACCAAGAACAAAAGTAGGCCCGAATTTCAAATCACTTACAACTCAATGGTTAAGATATGTGTAGTTTTCCAGGCTTGTCTATTTGCTTAAATTTTCTCTGGATATGTTTATGAATTGTCATTGATGCCTTTTGATGGTGAAATTAATCCACTGAGGTTATGAGGAGTGAATTGCTAAAGTAGAAGACTGTGAACACTTCCGCAGGGTGTAATAGATTACAGCCAGAGATCAAAGCAAACATAAAATTAATAAAAAATGAGGTACGTTATCCAAATTAGTGTGGGCAGGGCGACGGAGACAGGTATAAAAACCACTTCCCAGGAAAGTACAGAAGGCCTGGGCGGTCTAACAGGCATAGGTGGCGCGAGGTAGGGATCGGGGGGTCTGTTTAGAACAGCGGCCAATCGAGGCAAAAGTCAACACACTCAAGCATCAAAGATGATTTATGAACTACTGCTTTCATTGTCTGCAAATAAATAGAGGGCTTTTCAACGGTTCTCCTCTCTTAAATATAGGAGAGAGTAATGGCGAGGCCAATTTTCGGGACGCATTACTGCATTTCACGATGTACCACAGGTCCTGTTGCTAAGCTGATTGTTTCTTCTTCTTATGAACTTAGTGCTATTCAAGTTCGTATTCACTGGGGTAAAGAAGGCAGCAGTAGTCACGTTTCCTCTTAATCCTGGAATGCTCCGCAAATAAAGTAAAACTGTTGGTGATGATGTTTTCTGTTCAAATCCAATGAACATTAGTAAACTACTAGTAATGCTGAACGTTGAATGTTCATTTAACTTCTGTTCCAGTTACGGACCACTTCGTGATTCCGCCATTGTACCTCCACCGGGTGGGATGGCCGCCGGGCCATGCCAGTAGTACCCAGCCCTTCCGCTTATTAACAGTACATATTATACTCAGGTATTATGTCTTCTTTCTTCTTCAAGGAAATCTCGAAGGCTAAAATAAAATAAACTATAAAATTGTTAATAGTCGCTTCTAAATCTTCCAGCCATCAAAAACTCATCTCAGCAGAATTCTCCGAGAAGTCTGTAAATTTCCTAGTATGTTACGAAATTTTCAATCATTAATAGCAACCCCTTCTGTGCGCACACGCCCCATTCCTTTAAATGCACCCTGTGTACGTGGTCGGTGTAGGAACTGTTTACATCCGGAGGCGGGGTACGCACTTCCGCTTGTGATTAAAGCCTCCCCAAAATAAAATCCATATGTTTTGTAGCTCAAATCAGTTTGCGGTTTTAGAGCTTCCTCATTGTTTTGCATTTCCTTAATCTAGTAAATACGCTTATTTTTTCCTTTTTACAAAATACTTAATAGTATAGACTACGGAGGATTGTACTACTAAACAGCTAACTGGTAGTACTTCATTCAACACGTTCGTTGATTTGCCACAGAGGTCGTCGCATTAAATTGTAATGAGTTGGTTGTTTACTTAACGCTGTGCTTTGATAACGGGACCACTTAGATGCTCTGGGCCATGCCATTAGCCCCAAACCCTACTGTATGACGACAGATATATATTGTGGCCCAGTATTATACCCTCTTCCGACTTCAAAAGGTTCCAGAACACTAAAACACAATGCTTGAGTGCGTTATCAGTAAAAAAACAATTTGTTTAAAATGCAAAGTGGTACTCAATTTATATTGTCACTCATTTTAACAGACTGACATATTCTTCACCCCACGGTCCCATAACTTTAAGCAAAAGCCAAGAACCTCGAACTTTGAAATTACGTTACATTTTGTTCCAGTAATATCTATTTGTTATTCTAACTTGTTTTGCTCTGTCGTAGACTCGGTGCGATTTCCGGATTGTCCGGGTTGTGCGTTCTGGCGGTTGTCGGTGTGTACATAAGTAGTTTTTCCTCCTGATGGTTGATCTTGATGTAGTGATATATGAAATCCCTGAAGTATATGTTCCAATTACCAAAGCAGACCCTATTATTATCCGTGGTAGTGGTGACATAACAATGTAGGAGGCATTTTGTCTTATTCTTCTAGCTTTGGTATGAACAATGCATTTAGCAATGATTTTCCACCCGAGTTACACGGAAAGGTAGCCCCAGAAGAATTCCAGGAAACCATTTCAAAAGTCAACAGCCAACTTAGGCGCTCCATGTCTATTAATCTAAAATGGCTTTTGTGTGGTTTCATTTGCTGTTTCTGCACCCTTGGATGCTCCATGTGGCCGGCAATTTGTGTGAATCGTAAGGTAAAAAGAAGCATCGAAAAGACACTTGAACTCGAAAATGCCCGTCTTTATTGCCAGCTTGGACTTAATTGGAGCCTAGCTAAGCAAAGGTCCTCAGAACCGGTCGTTTTGATGGAATATGTGAGTTTCGTTTCTCACTGGAATTTTCTCACTCAAACCTAATAAATTTTATTAAATGGTATTTGCTCAGGTCCCTTCAATTAAATAGACTGCACCAACTCCAGTTTTCTCGTAGTTTAACATTACGGGGCTTTATTGCCGCAAATGGCCAATGGTTTTAATGTTTTACTTTGTGTTAATTTTAAAATGTTTGCTTTTTTCATTTGGACTAGAACTACTCTCCTAGGTCGCTACACCTTCTTGCTTTTCGCCGACCTTTGAGTACACACCAAGTGCCACGAAATGTATTGGTTGTACGCTACACAGTTGATGAATGAACTAACCACTGTAATACTTTTCTACTCCTTAAACAGGTACTCCGGCTCGACTTCATCCCAAAGTGTTCCGTTTACCAGCCGGATTAAGGGGTATATTCTTCGCACCCTCTTACCCCTATTACTGTCTCGGCAGCCTTGTACAAAGTTAGCATTATCCCCTCATTCCTCCATCCTCATCTCCCCTCCTGTCTTTCGCTGCCTTCTCTCCTCGTTTCGCCCTTTCCTCTTTCCTTCTCTGAATGTTGTTGCTATTGTTATTAATGCTACATTATGACCACCTATCCACTTACCCACGCCGGTACTACACGCTCGTTTTATCTCTTCTCTATTCATTTAAACTTCTTCCTGTGTGAACACCTGCTGTCCTGGGGTCCATGATGCAACAGCCATGATGTCCTTCATTTTTCAGAAGGAGAGAAAGGAACCACTTGTGCTTGAGTTTTTCATGTGCCGCCTTGTTGAGTTTTGCACAAATTTGCACCCACCGACAAAATTCAGGCAGAAGCTTAAATCAGAAACTTGCCTTCTGGTTTGTGCTTTCAGATACTCGTATTGTCTTGGTGACTGTTTTATTTAAAAATTGCTGAAATAACCTCGGATGCAGTAGTTAATTGGTTGCGATGGCCTCCCACACCGGACATGCAAAGAAGCGTATGCACGCACACCACTGTTTTTGGATGCCAGCGGTGGTGACATTGAGTTACAAGCACTTATAGTGTACTTTATGGGGTGATAAAATTTATGGAGGGATAAAGTGCCATATATGTCCTGGGAAACCTGTATTCGTTTCATATCAGTTACATACCAGTTTATACTCTTGTCTTAATGCAAAAAGGTTCGGTGCCTCACAATTCATTCCAACAACAGGGTCCATCTGTTCAGCCCCCGCCAACTGGTTTTTATCTTGTGAGGGAAGCCACGCCAGGGCTTACTGCTTGTCCCGCATGCGATGCTTTCATTTCATAATGGGACTGGCGCTCGTATCAAACCGGGAATTTCGTTGTTTTTATGGTTGAATATGATAAGAACGGCTCTACAAAGGTAAATCTAACGGTTGCAACTTCTATCAAAAAACTGAGTTGTGTAAGCAATAATACAAGTGAAGAAGGAATGCTTGAGGGATGTCAAGCTTCAAAATATGTCTAGATTTGGGCTTCATGCTTTGTGCTTAAGCATTATCCAGCTGCACCTGTCTTGCATAGTGGCGGTACACGTGCTTGCCGATGACTGTCTCCTCTCGCGGTCTCCTCAAATGCTTCGTCAGATTGAGGTTATCAAAGCGTAGGAGTGCAAGGATACTTGGAGGCTTTAGCCTCCCACCTCTGCAGCGCCTTTTCAATGCACAGCGGTACCGTTACTCACAAAATCACGCAGTTTGTAACATATTTTACGAAGGTAAAATAAAACGAGTTATTCATCGCACCGCCCTGTGCACGCAAGTAGACTGTCAATCAGTCAGACGAAGAAATGCATCGAGTGACAGTAAACGCATCACAGGTAGTGATTTTACCAATGTGTGCACTCCCCCTCCTCCCTCTCCGAAAGGAGGTGGAATTAACATTGGGCTATTAGTTTGGACAAACTTAACCAGCCAAACGCAGCGCTCGAACCCCCCATGAGGGCACTCAAAAGGGGTGATGAGGTGCTAACAGGAAGGATGTGAAAAAAAAAAGCGGCGTCTGGAACTCATGGAGTCTGAAGAATAGGTGCCATTTCGCCATAACGCCCTCCTCTCTAATTTTCGGGCGTCGTTCTCAGCACCCGCCCATGGAGGAATCACGCGCTGGCCATCGCAGCATAGTCGATGCCGTAAAAATCTCTCACAGGAATCAGTAACGAAGTTCAACAATTAATTTACTTCCAAGTTGAGGTGATATTAAATTCCAAAGTCAGTGACTCGCTTCGTCAACTCAGCTAGAAGCGTCGCCTCATCCTCCTCGTGAACGGTATTGGGGCATTCTGCATTCAAGTCAATGCTATGTTAGAACCCCGTCCTTTGTTATATGACTACTTTTGGGCTAGCGTTTCGACGACTAGCTATGGACATCCTTAATAGCCAGCACATTTCCCCGTCCCCGAATACAGTTCCCATTCAGGAAGAAACTCCAGTGGAGTTGTCATGAGGAATCAGTGACGCTGCTTGGAAATTCGATGACTAGATGGTTGGTTCGTGAGTGTTTCCTTACAATACCGACTGCGTTTTGATGGCTGACGCAGGAGGTTAATCAAGAGTAGCTCCAACGACGATGCTCAAAAGTGGAGAGAGAGCTAAGTACTATGCCAAATATTTGTTTAGCTTTTAGCCTTGGTAAAGGGGCTACTAAGGTCCACCGAGTAGGCTGGCCTCCTAGCCATCCCGGTAGCAGCAGGACCTTCCGCATGTCGGCAATACATATTTCATCCTAACATTATGTCTTCTTTCGCCTTCAGAAAAGTCTCGGGAAGCTGCATAAGTGCCCTGTTAACAGAAATATCATGACTCGAACACCATGGCTCGGCCATAGTGATCAGGACTTGCAACTGCTAAGACCTCACACAGTTAAATTTATTACCGGAATAAATGTCTTATTGATGCATGGCTATTAAAGTCAGTCGTGGACCATCATATTTGAGAGGGTTAAGTAGGAACTATGTCAGCCACTTCTTCAAACGAAAAGATGGACTGGTTTTAGTTACAGCATAAAATAAAGAATACGAAGAACACAATCAGGTGACAATATTACCTTGATTAGAACTGCCGCACTTAGTTGGTCTGTTCTGCACACACATGAGGTTGCTGGTATCCCGGTCGAGAGGTTTAGCTCAGCGGAGCATGTTTTTGGATTATTTAGCACGCCTTTAGCACATTTGGTCTTAATCCAGTCAATTAGATTTCCCTCTGTTAGTGCAATGAGGTGATAATAGTTTGAATAGTTGGCAGCTCAAACTTTTGTGTCCCTGTACTTTCAGCTCATTCTCAGGGTTCCTCGGATACATTCTATGCCGACATAGCTCATTACGCCTTCCTGAAAGTCTTGGAATGCAAATGCAAATTAAAAAGGAAACGAATATTGCAGATTTGCAGTAAAGATGGTCATGAACAGCTGGAACATTAAGCAATGTGATCCCACCTAGTTGGAAAATGGAAGTGAAAAACCTGCCTAGGTCAAACTACAAACGCTTTTGAAAGGGACATTTCGAGAAAAGAGCTGAGTTTTAATTACAGTTAACCTACTATTTGTAGAGTAAGACGTACTGTAATACTTATGTTGTTTGAATTTGCCTTTCAGGGAGGAGGCAAGCAGGAAATTCGAACCTTGTAACTGGATCGCCCTCTCCCTTACCTAGTGACTGCGGCTCCCCTCCTTCTTGAATATTGTATTTTCCCTATACATCTTGTCGTCTTTAATAAAGATGTCCAAAGCAGACCAACCGGGCTCGTCTGGCAACGCTAGGAATCGGGAAGCGGAGACCGAGGAGTCTCGCTCCACACTGGTGGCAGCCCCCGCTGACCTACCCCCTTTCAAGGAAGATATGAATTTCGAAGAGTGGCCCCTAACTGCCAAATTTAACCTTCCTCTCTATCCCCATTGTCAAAGAATACCTCTTATCCTTCGTGCCCTCCCGCATGATTTATTCGTGGCCGCAGTCGGAGCTGGCATTACCCACGACAGGGACGTTGACCAATGCTGCGATACATTGGCTCAACTAGTCATCGATCGTGAGGAGGGAACCCTGGCTAGGGACTTCTTTCAGCGTTTTCAAAAAGCTGATGAGGCCGACGAAGAGTACGCCAGGAACCTCCAACTCCTGGCGGAACGTGCGTTCCGCGGCTGCCCCCTAAACAAGATCGCCAATTGGGTTGCAGTTCAATTTAAACACGGAATCCGACCTTCCATCTTGGCTGAGAAGCTCTGCGAAGCAAAGACTAACTCGCTCGACCAACTGGTCAAGCTCGCAACCAAGAAGCGGCAGGAACTCCGGGGGCTCCCGACTTCCCGGAAACCGCGAAACTGGTCAAATGCAGCATTCTCGTACCGTGCTTCCCCGCGCTATACTCCTAGACCAGGTGAACCCTCCTTTTCCCTTTCCTGTTTACTCCCAAATGGCTCCCAATCTTATATGAGGGTTTT